CTGCTCCCCCAACTCAGTAGTATGACATCTACGTTAGGCGTGAACAGTCAAGATGATGGTTGGAAGGGCACATCTGACCCTAAAGTCCGGCGTAGATTGCAAAATCGCATTAACCAGCGCTTAAGCAGTGAGGACTCCGCTCAAATCTTGAACCTGCAGTAGAGGCTGATAGCAAGAAGGGCAAAGGAAAGCAGCACAGAAAGAACTCGAGGCTGCCACGGTGGCAGGCAGCTCCTCTAATTCATCAAGCCGGACATTGGTGGTAATTCGTCCGAAGCCTACAAGCGAAGAAGGTGGCGTTCAGGGCATACCCTCCCGTGAAGACGTCCGTCTTAAGAGGGATGCTAGCCGAGAACATGCCCAAATTACAAGAGCAGTCGCAATAACAAAACATCTCGACCCATTTACATGTATGCAGCCAGAATTACGAGATCCTAGCGCAAAACGAATATTTCATTATAGTATGTTCTTGCCAACACCTCCTATTACATGACTAACCCGACCAGCCTTGGTGGTTCTTTTACCAACTCTAGGTACAAAAACACTCTCTGGAGAGCCTCTCCCAGTAGCTCTTCACCGGTCCGCGATTCATGACGTTCACGTTCTCTTTGGGGTCCTAGTTGGCGGAGCTGGACAGAGGCTCTCACAAACACATTCCGAACAAGACATTCAAGCTTTCATCAAAGTGCAGGTTAGATTAGCTGCACTTGTGCGCAAGAATATCGAGCTGGGAACTATCACAGACGGCGTATTATTTGCAATACTTGCCTTATCAATCAAACGCAATGATTACACAGCCAACTTGTCACCCTCGGAAAGATATGCCGGAGGATTTAGGTCACCCGTGAAAGCTGTCGGAGGACTAGATTGGCTTGGTGGCATTGAGCTGGCGGCAGATCATATTGGCATGTTGACCACCCTAATCGGCAATCTTTTGTCGACGTCGCAGCCAATCAGTCCCGGACTTCGTGAATACATGCAGATGGCTGACCTGCTGCGGGCCAGCCTGACTTTAACACGGCCGGAGATAGAGTTAAGCGAGTCGTATCTCGCAGTTTTAAGCAACGAAGCGCAAACAATTCGACCACCCGTACAGGACGCTGCGGCTTTTGACGTCGACCCCCTCTTAAGGGATATCCTTCTGGATATCAAGCTCATATGCCGCTTGATTAATAAATATAGTGGAAGTATCCCTTTTGATTCACAGACAAGTAAATTTGTGCAGTATCGAGACCTGATACAATATCGTTTACTGTGTCTCTCCCCGGGGAAAGACGACTTGTGTCGACTTGCTGCGTTAATTTTCAATTATGGAGTGATATTCCCAATATCTGATCCCCGACCCATATGGAAGCTTACAAAGGAACTCTACTTTGCAATTCTAAATCCAGGCATTATAGCACACGAGAGTCGAGAATTCATGCTCTGGGTTGCAATCATTGGTGGCATTGCTGCTACAGGAAGAGAATTACATCATGTATTTGTTACTCTCGTTGCACACTACGCAAATGCTCTTCGTCTTCATGACTGGAGCGCGGTTCTCCAAGTGTTGGAACGGTATCTATGGTTGGACCTTGCGTGTGGAGACAGTGGTCGGGATCTTTGGATGGCTGCTGTAAAGCTCATGAATCCGAGTACAAGGGATCATGAGGGTGGCTTGTTGTTGGTGTTATAAATGAAGGGCACCTGGGCTTATAATGACTGATCTATATATATGATTGAGACCAGACTCTATTCATTTTTGGCTTCCACAAGCCTTCGTATACGTATAAGATGTAAGTATGCAAAGGTTTCAGTCTTTGGCTTGTCTAGTCTTCTCCTCCACTTCCAGATATTGCTTCAGTGAATCGCCAATCGTATCTTGCAAGGTCAAGTATTGAAACCCAAGAATCTTTGGTGATTTGCTCCCATCAACTGCATAGACCTCATTCCGCCAACGCTCGTCATTCATTGGTACACCTTTGGGAATCCGAGTTCGTGCCGTCTCCGGGAGAGCACTACGCGCAGCATCAGCAGCCGACTGCCAGTCGAAATGCTGCGCTACAAGCAGCCGCTCCCCCCTCGCCTTCGGTGTCTCAAAAGCGAGTAGCAGAGCATCTGCCACATCTCGCACATCAACGTACGCAGCATAATCTGGAGCAGGTATGGAGGGTGCATCGACAAGAGCCCATATCGCGGCACAAGACGGATTGAGAGCGTTCAGGTCTCGAATTGGGTACACATGGGGACCATAGATGACAGCTGGATTGACTGACACCAGATCGAATGTCGGTTTCGGCTCGCTCTTCATATACTCCCACATCCCCTTCTCCGCAAGGGCTTTACTCGCGCAGTATGCGCCAAGCGGCCCAGCTTTAGCGGCCTCTTCGTAAGTCATCGGGTTCCAATCATCTTCGTCGTAGGTATATCCAGGGCGAAATCCTTGCGACACATCGAGCATAGCAGCAAAAGAGGACGTGTTGACGATCCGTTGGACTGTAGGGGCGTAGCGAGAGACTGCTTGGACAATAGACACAGCACCCTTGATTGCAGGTTCAAGCATGTCCCTTATGTTATCCTCAGGGTGAAGATGTACTGGAGATGCGAGATGAATAACACCGGTGATGTTCGCGCCATCGAACGCGGTTTTGTAGAACTCTGGTGAAGTGATCCCAGGAATCAGAGCGAAGGAGAGTTGCGAACTGTACTCGGAAAACTGCGTCAAAATCAAGTCCTGTGCTGTTTGTGATCGGATGGTAGCACGGATGTTGTAGCCCCTTTTCAGCGCCCGTTGGAGGAGATGGCCGCCGACAAAGCCATTGGCTCCAGTAACCAGGAGAGTGTGATCCGAAGGCTTCATACTCTCTGTCGAGTACCTTTGGACAGTCTTCTTTGATGTTTAGGAAATCATCTTGTAACCTACTGTTGCTCAGTTTCTGCTAGTTCATCACCGCAGCATGATGGCATCAATATTTATACTCGTAGATAGTAGGGGCGATCGGTACTATAAGATTGCGAGAGATGGAGATAAAGCTTGCAGTTTGCTGGTCTCCGACAGCTGACAAGTCTGGACTTCACCCAAACGAACACACTTGAGATTCTGCCAAGCCATGTGAAGTCCACATTATTTCGTAGTTGGCTGTGAACAAGCGCCATCTTGCCTCTTAGGTGTAAACTCGCCGAACGCGCCGATAATCAAGCCTGGCTGTTGACTAGCAGCGCCCATGTAGCCGGATGGTGTCAGCATCGTTGTAGCGGCGTTAAGCCACCAGGTAGTGTGGGACGGCCATTCATTGCTGACACCCGTTTTTAAAACGAGCACACGCCTTTACGTCAGTCACCATTACGCAATCACGCACCTGGTGCCAGGTATTTTGAACAGATTGAGAATATCAAAGATATTCATAATAGGCGTACGTAACAAACATTTATCTAGCCGAATCAAAGGCATTCATGTGCCCGGTTCAAAACAGCTCTGTGTAGTCAAAGGTATGCTTCTGTCGTTAGGCCCTTGATAACCCAACATGTGCTCACCAACGCGTCCACTCCAAGTCCCTTGCTAGTTGCAGCTGTGCAAGATGAATGCGTTGCTCCTCCGGATCGTCAAAGTATTTTTGAGCCACAATTTTGCCGTCTTCCTCCGGCTTGATGAAGTAGGGGACGTCCACTTCGCACTGGGTATAGCGTTCAGGGACCTTCCCTTCGTATAAGAACTCACGAACGCGTTTGGCAAGGCAAGTCGAGCCAATTGCTAGGGAGCAATGACCATAGCCTTGGACCTCTACAATCTGCGATCCAACGAAAGCCTCGTTGGCCGATCGCGCAGAAATTAGCGGGCAAACGGGGTCGTAGGTCGTGGACAGAATGAGCAACGGGTGCGCAGTCTGTACGCCCTTTCTCGGCTTGTAAGTATGAGTTCTGGGGATACTCCACTGTTGCTTCGAGTATAAAGTGTCCCAAGCTTCAGTTCCAAACAGGCTCAAGTTTTGAAGCGGTAGAATCTCCTCGAGCAAAGCCTGTCGTCCCTGCACCCAATACTTGGGACCAGATAATCCGTCATTGAGAGTGACAAAGCGGTTTGCATCGCCAATCATGTTCCAAGGGTCGTCCCGCCCGTAGGCCAAGAATGCTTCGGTCGCATTGCCTTGAATGAGTTTAGTAAGGCGATCGGCCAGATCGTACCAATTTGCCGGCTTGTACAAAGTTGGGAAAATGCCTTTGAGCAGAAGCTTGGAATAGTCGAGCACTCCATAGACTGTGTTATTAACATATACGCTGAGAGGTTCCTCCTTGAACTTGCTGAGGAAGGAGAGCACTGTCTCCTCCAACTCCTCCTTCGAACTCGCCAGTGAAGCCAAGGTGCAATTTTCGCTGCCAGCTTTGATACATTCATCGAAGAAACCGTGAAGTACGTTTTCGGTGTCGGCCATGTCTTCCTCATCGACGAGGCCCTCGAACCAGTCAAATTGGTTGACAACTCCATCAATGATTACACGCTTTGATCGATTCGGAAATAGCCCGGCGTATGTTTGACCAAGCAGAGTCCCATAGCTGAAACCCCAGTACACCATATCCTCCTGGCCTACAGCATCAAGAATACTGTTCATGTCGGCAGCAGTCTGAGGCGTATTGATGTACTTCCCATGCTCGCCCATGGTATCAGCGCAAGCCTGGACAAAGTTGCTTGTCCAGGCGTAAAGCTGCACGCTGTTATCAGGGTTCGTAGAGTCCAGGGTGTTAGAGAGGTCTCTGCGTGTCTCGTTGTCAGGATAACACGAAGCGAGCGGGCTGGAGCCATTGATGCCACGGGGATCAAAGGTCAGAAGATGTAACCCCTCGCCAAGAATGGTGTTAAGCTCCTCGCCCTTGCGATATAAAAAGTTGATGCCACTACCGCCAGGTCCACCGGGGTTGAGTAGGATGTTTTGCGTAGCATTCTTCCCGCGCATCCGAATTAGAGGGATGCTGAATGTCTTGTTGCCAGAGTTCTCTGCATCAAACTGATCCATCGGCACATCGATACTACTGCACTCTAGGGGCCGGCCCTTGAGATCACCGCATTCTTCCCATTTGATGTGCTCGCCCTCATAAGTGTGGTAGTGAGTAGGGCGTTGACAGTGCCGAAAGATTGTATGGGGACGCCAGTGGAAGTGCAGCAATGCAAGACAGGTCACAATGCCTGCGATGACCAGAATTAGTCGTGTCGAAAGAGGTTGCCTGCGCCGCGGTTGTCTGAGAGCCTGGTCATCGAGATAAGTTCCGCCTAGAAGCCGCTTCTCTTCCATTTTGAATTGAAGGTTCTTCGAGGTGCGAGATGTATAACAAGCCCCTACTGCTCTTATGAGATGAGAGGTCACGTCAATTGCAAGCCCTCTGTGCACCGAGGGAAAGTCGTCCAGTAGCTTCTTCTCTCTCGATTTAAGTTCAAACTTGATCACCCCCTCAGACTAGGATGATCTAGAGACGCAATTGAATGCGCAATCGCAACGATCGCTGTTGCACTGAGATGCGCCGGATGTTGACGTTGGCTGATGACGTCTCATCTGCCTGTGAATCCTACAGCTTCTGTTTATTAGGTCAAAGCGAAGTGAAGCACCGCCTTCCAGAAGCGGACGAGGGGCGATTGGCCTAGGAGGGTTAGGGTTCAGATATTAGCCCGGTATAATTGTAGACGTCTACCATTACTTATTACACGGAAGACCATAAAGTTCGAATACGAGTGGAATGTTTGCTAACTTAGCTGGCTAATTTAGACTGCTAGATTCTTCTCAAATTTGCTGATGCTCTTTCTGAAAACGTTTGACCAGTGCTTTGCCCTCATCTCCACGACTGGCTCGAATTCAGGCATTGTCATCAGGGCTTCACGCCACTGTCCCTTGGCGCCGCTTGCGGCTTTTTGCTGGAATTTCCTGATGGAATCGACAATGCTCAAGGCTGTCTCATCAAAGAATACTCCTGCGTGCCGCATCTCCTTGAGCAAAGAGATAACAGCGTTCGCATCGCCGTAGCGCTCCCAGTATATCTTCATCAAGCTATTATAGAATGGTATGTTGATGCCAAGAACATAAGAAGCCAATCCAAGCTCCTTAACACGCGGCAAAATCGAAAACGACAATCGAGAAGGGCTGGCGAAGTGCTGATCGAAAAGCTTCAGGGCATGAAGAAGGAAATCTGGGTATAACGGCCCGTGAACTTCCATGCTGAGTGCCCCAGGTGTGGTCTGAGTCCCAGGTGCTGCTGCGCTGCTCTTTCTTGACTGCTTTTTTTGGCCGCTCCGCCTGCCTGAAGTGACCTGCTGATCTATATGCGCTTGCCCGATTCCCATCTTTTCAACCATGGGGAAAACTTCTGCTTCCATGACGTCCCAAAGCTCAAAGTCTGTCTTGGCACCTCTCATTAATTGCTCTATTCTTGACCTCTCTGCTTTCCTTAGCGACAAGATATGATGCTGTTCGGCGAGTGCTTCGATAGTCAAATCCTCCTTAAGAGGGAATGATTCGGGAACTGTATCGACTCGTTGGGGGTCGGATGAGGCCGCCTCTTGCAAGTGAGAAGCCCCATTTACTCGATTAACCTCTTGTTGTTGTTGACTGACCCCAAGAGCTTGGCGTGCTGCTTGTCGAAGGCTTGGAGGAAATTTCATGAGGACTTGTTCTCGTGCTGACGCAGAATAGGCCTCTTCTAGCGAGCCGAATGGATCAATGTCGCCTTGGCCCGTTCCCTTTCCGGCAATCTTGTTCGCTGCATCTCGAATGATGACATTGATTGCTGACTCGCCTTTGCGTACAGATCTTGGGCCAGTGGATGATCGAGACAAGGCTCGATTTGTCTTTGGGGAACGCTCAGCAATCTCTTCGAAGATGCGCTGGAAGGTCTGGCGCTCTGCGGGAGTGATGGTGCCATCTGGGCCTGTTTCTTCGCTCTCGTATATCTTGTCCGGGCTTTCGGATTCAAGCTCTGGGGGAAGTTCGAAGGGTATTGGGTCGGCGGTACGACGTGATGCTGGGCGTAGCCGGCTCGTGCTTAGCAGCCGTAAGTTGTGGATCGTTGAAGCAGATTTGACAAAGCGCTGCAGTGTTCGCGTTTGGTACAAGAAAGGCGCGAGGGTAGAAGCCATCTCGAAGAAGAGTGCGCCGGGTGCATGTACTAATTGCACAACTTCTTCCTCAAGTTTTCAGATGAAGCTTAGAGCAATTATACGCTAAAAATGCTCTTTAAGCTTGCAGCTCTCAGCGCACGGACCCTCCGACAAGCACGAGACTCCGCGCCTGCCTTCGCGGCATTTCAAGTCGCGCCAAAACGCGATGGCTTAATTGATTTCTCCCCGTTTCTGCCTGCGCTGTCTCACTTCTCTTGAGATTCGCCCCCTTTCCAGTCCATCTACCAAAATCCTTCTACCTCTCACCAACAAGACGACACTATATTTCTACGCGCAATCCCGAATTCTACCTTCTTTCAGCTGCCAATCATCACAATGCCTCCCAAAAAGCCCGGTGAGATGTCCGCGTTCGAGCGACGACGTCTCGAAAACATCGCGGCCAACAATGCTATCCTCAAGGACATCTCAAAAACGGCGGCCAAGATCCTGCCGCAAAAGCCTAAAGTGCCGACACCTAAAAGATCTTCCGCACCACGAGTCCGACGAGAGCAGCCAAAACGTGAGCCTGCCCGGCCGGTTCGGATGAGCTCCCGGCTTGCGGGGATCGATGCCGAGCAAATCAAGGTGAAGCGCGAGCTTGACCTGGTGGACACTGGCGCTGCAGACCGGCCGGCAAAGAAAACAAGAGTCAGTGGAGACCTGAATCTGGGAGAAATACTGGTAGAAGGCCGCAAATTCTCTGGCGCCGATGCCCTTGCCAGCTTGAAGTTCAGAGGCGCTGAGCCGGGCGTGAGGACCTTCTTCAAGGAGGATGCTGAGGATGTGGACGACTCCTCGCTGAAGGACATGCGAGAGCAGATGAGCTCATTGCAGATATACGACAAATGGGAGGTTAATGGTGAGTTTTGCAATGACTTCATTTAGTCCTAGATGGTATCGCTGACGATTGGCCACAGATATCAAAATCGTACCTCAGCGAATTTACTCGATGGGATTTCACCCAACGGAGGAGAAGCAAATCATCTTTGCTGGAGACAAGGAAGGCGCTATGGGCGTCTTTGACGCCAGCCAGGAGAAAGAAGTGCCAGATGACGATGACGAAGATGCCCACATCCCTGATCCGGTGATAGCTGCCTTTAAAACACATGCTCGAACAATATCGACTTTCCACTTCTGCCCCACAGATGCCAATGCGGTATATTCTGGGTCATACGACTCGTCGATCCGCAAGCTAGACCTTGACAAGGGCAAATCAGTAGAAGTCTGGGCCCCCTCAGACCCTAGCGATGATATGCCGATCAGTGCTATTGATATGGCTTCTAACGACGGCAACGTCATCTTCTTCTCTACACTGGATGGACAATTTGGGAAACACGACATGCGAATGAAGGCAGATGACGCAGAAATATGGAGGCTGACGGATCACAAGATTGGTGGCTTCAGCTTGCATCCGGCACAGCCTCACCTTTTTGCTACTGCGTCGTTGGATCGTACGCTTAAGATCTGGGATCTACGCCGTATCGCTGGAAAAGGCGATCTACGGCACCCAAGCCTGGTCGGTGAACACGAGTCTCGTCTCTCAGTATCTCACGCCTCATGGAGTGCCGGTGGTCAGATCGCGACCTCAAGCTATGATGATACTATCAAGATCTACGACTTTGCGGATGCTGGGTCATGGGCCGTGGGTCACGATATATCAGATAAAAAGATGAAGCCCACTCATACAATTCGTCACAATAATCAGACGGGACGATGGGTCACAATTCTCAAACCGCAGTGGCAGCTGCGGCCGAAAGACGGCATTCACAAATTTGCGATTGGCAACATGAACCGCTTTGTCGACATCTTTTCTGCTGATGGTACTCAACTTGCCCAACTGGAAGGAGACGGCATCACAGCGGTGCCTGCCGTTGCACACTTCCACCCAACGCGCAACTGGGTTGTTGGCGGCACTGCTAGTGGCAAAGTGTGTCTCTGGATGTGAGCTGGAGCGTCTTGGCCAAATTGCTGGTGAGAACGAGACGTGATTGTACATGATTTGTATGCGATGGGAAAAAAGCAGGATTGGAATATTTGCAGTTATGTGATTACGGAACGACCGCCACGATAGGAGTCGTAAGGGCACAGCTCGGTTCAGGATTCTGATGTGCAACTTGGCTATTAGGCTCAGTGTTTATTATCTCGAAGTACAGTTGACTTGTCAAAGAACCTTGATGCGTTCCCAGTCCATTAGGCTAAGAGGACTACCACACGGCCTATTTATGACCAACTCATTCTCGCAGTGCTCCTGTGCCCTGCTTTTGTTCAATGTTCAAATGAAGTTGTTGATTATAGGCGGTCAGGGAAGGATGCGTCTACCGGTACATGTTTACTTGACTGACTGGAGCCACGTTGAGTGACGTTGGTGAACTGCCTCTGGAGACTGACCGCCCTGAACTGCTAGCAGTGCAGCGAAGTGAGAACCACTGCCTCAAGCACGCTGTGCTGGCCCAATGATCCGATGACAGCGTAACGTTATTTGAACCTGGAACGTGATTGCAAGCAATATTGTTGATAAACCCAGTTGGTTCACTTTGCAGGTACTTTTCAGTGTGCACCTAGGCATAGGCATTTGAGGATTGTTGAGTGAGTGGCAGCTGTCTTGCATCAGGTTGCATGTGACAGAGGTTCGAGTCAGATGCGTTGAGATCAGCCCTCTAGAAATAGAAATGCGCCGTAATTGGCTTTTTCCCAGGCCCCCGTGCAGGTTCCGCCCGCTGCTCGCATCCACTGCGGTCTTCGCTAGCGCCATCGTCATCGAGGATCTTTTATCGATAAATGAACAAACAGCAATGGAAGAAGCGAGAGCGAGAACGGTCGAGTCTGGAGTCCCTACCAGGCCAAGCTCTAAGCCTGGAAAACACCCCCACTAGAAGAAGCGGACTCGCCAACCAGGGCTGCCAAAAATGCGGTCATGTCTGCTCTAGTGAAAAGTGAAGTGCCCAGCAAGGTTAGAAATGTTAAAAAGTGAGGACGGACATCGACCTTGGAGAGTCGTTGAGAGAGACACGCAGGCGCATGGATGGATGGATTCCTTATCCCTTATCATATGATATCTTCCATCTTTCGTATCTTTCGTATCTATCGTAAACGTTCATCTGCATCTCGTGGTGGCATTTGCACCGTATCACGCGTGTCACTCACACTCACACGCGCCGGAGATACCTCACCTTGTACCTAGAGATATCTAGCAGAGACTGCCCAGGCACCTTGTTGTGCTTAACGACTCCTCACACTTCACATACAAACCTACTTACCTACCTAAGGTAGGCATATACTCACAGATACATTAGCTCCTTCACCACGATCAGGGCTCAACTGGCCAGCAGCTGTCACACGCCCGCTGTGACTGACCGCCCTGTCTCGCACTCTCTGCGTAGCGGTCGATCCTACTGGAGCTCTGCCTAGAGCGCCTAGAGCATCCTTGTCAGCACCTAGAACCAGGCCGGGGTCAGGGAGTCCAACAAACGGACGCCATCAGCCTCACAGCTGCCACCACGACTTTACACTGGACGGCCCCGAGGCATCACCGCCATCAACAACATCTAGAAGGGCCCGTTCCTTTCTCTGTATCTCTGTCTAGCTGGCTAGAGGTAGCTGGCTGCTGCGTGCCCCGACTAGCAGTCAACCTAAGGTAGCTGATAAGGTGCTGTACGGTACCTACCTACCTACCTACCTAAGCAGCTAAGGTAGCGTGCATTGCCGAACGGTCTGCCTCGTCCTACCGACCTGGCCGCCTTGTGATTCCTGGTCAGTTGTCGAGCCATCCGATGCGCGCCGCCCGTCCGCCAACACCGTTTCTCAACCGTTGAAGCTGACTGCAGAAGAGCACAGCAGAGCACGGCAGAGCACAGCAGAGCACGATATTGCTGCCATAGCAGCACGGCAGCCCGCCATTTCAGATACCTAGACAGCCGTGCCCCCGAGAACCGCCGTTGAGCGCGACTCCGGCGTCCTCACCTATCAACGCCTGCAGCCACCCGCGTGGTCCAACCAGAGCCGCATCTCGACCGTCCCACAGGTGCTGGCCCCCAGTCATCGGAAGAAAGAGCATCGAAAGCTACCCCCAGTCCAGCGCAGGCATCACCTGCCCACACGTCCAAGACAATGCCGCCGCCTCCAGCGAGCAACCCTCCTGCTCCTCCTCCTCCTCCTCTCTCTTCCTCCCAGATCCTCCCCCATCGACAACAACAACACCACCACCAACACCCCCAGGCTGGCACACCCTCCTCGCCCGCACCACACCATCCCGCCGCCCCCCGACCCTCCGAAGACGACTCGAGGCGCCGAGTCTCCCGCAAGCTCCAAAAGCGCCGCCACGGCGCCCACACGCCGACGATGGAGCTGCCAGACCGACTGAAGGAGGCGACCGACGATGCCGAGCAAGAGGAGGACGTGTTCCCCGCTGCCCAGCGCGGCGGCGGCATGTTCATGAACATGAACCAGAGCATCTTCGGCCTGATCGCCGCCGCCGGGAGCACCGTCGACTTCAACCACCGCCTCGAGGGCAACAGCAGCGACGAGGACGACGACGAAGACGACGAGGCGTCCTCGCATCACGGCAGGAAAGGAAAGGCTGCCATGGGGGTTGACGGGGGAGTCGCCCAGACGACGGTCCTGAGGAAACCGAGCGGGAAGGGCGAGAAGCACCATCGGAGGAAGTTTAGCGACAGCAAGCTGCTGCGGTCACTGCCTACCCTGTCGCGCCTATCTACGAAACACAAGGCGAAGAAGCTTGAGGGAAAGAAGCCAACAGTTCAAATACAAGAGGAATCAGAGCCCGAGTCTTCGGCCACGGACTCGCCAACCCTGGGTGTTCAAGACGAGAATCGCCTGGCGCCAGTCATGAGCCGCATGCTAGAGGCCCGGGCGGAGGCAACAAGCCGGCCAAGCTTCGACCTCGAAAGGCTGTCCGGGGAGAGGGGCCGTATACCGGGCGCTATGGGCGATACTGGACCGACGGATCTGTCCAAGAAGTTGATGGAGATCTTCCAATTTGAAGAGCCCGAGGAGGTAGTCTCAGGTGCGTAGAATAATATTCTTTGGCGAGACCCGTACTAACAATCTTGCAGAATACCCCTGCTGGTTACTACAAAGCGTATTGCTTCAAGGCTACATCTATATTACGTCAAAACACATTTGCTTCTACTCATATCTACCTAAGAAATCGGTATGCCTATCTAGCCCCCCGCCTCGTTTGCCTTTTGCTTACGTTTTACCAGCACGAAGTTGTCAAATCAGGCTACCTCTCGAAGAGCGGCAAAAGAAATCCCAAGTTCAACAGATACTGGTTCCGTCTAAAAGGCGACATACTGTCGTACTTCCGGGATCCGTCAAATCTGTACTTCCCCAGCGGTCAAATCGATTTACGCTATGGCATATCTGCTTCCATAACGGACAAGGACAAAGACGGTGTCCATTTCTCCGTCGTCACCGACCATAGGACCTACAATTTCCGAGCAGACAGCGCGCCGAGCGCCAAGGAGTGGGTGAAGAGCTTACAGCGCGTCATCTTCCGCAGCCACAATGACGGCGACAGCGTCAAGATCAGCCTCCCCATCCAGAACATCATAGATATCGAAGAGACGCAGATGCTCGAATTTGCCGACACCTGTAAGATACGCGTGATTGATAACGATGAGACTTACGCCATTGATGAGGTGAGATCTCCCTGTAGTAATTTAAGGACATCAGCATCCTAACAGGATTTAGTATTTCTTCTCATTCTTCAGCTACGGCAAAGAAGCATTAAATGTACTCAAGATTCTAATTGAAGACTCTACACAACAAGCCGATTCAAATAAGCTTGGTGCGCGAGCCGTAGCAGAGGAGGCATCGACCTCGGAGCTGCCCTCTTCAAAGAGGACTTCTATGAGCGGTAGCAGAGATAAGCTTGTTCCTCAAAAAATCCGAACAGCTAGGCTCGGCGAGAATGTCAAGGCTACCCTCTCCCCAATGTCACCTCAATCACCACCCGGGCCGTCCCCTCGCCCTAGTGGCGAGTACACGCGAGGCAGCTTTGACGCCTTCAGACAATTTGGTCGTAAGAGTCTAGACCTCGCTCGAGTCGGCCGCCCGGAGGCACCGCGACGTAGTGTTAGTGACAGCCGACGATCGTTCAGCGGAAACCGTTTGGGCGAGATGAAGAAACATCCAGAGAGGTACAGCTCAGCAGACTCGTATGTGCAGTCCATGGAAGATCCCAGCCAGGCAAGCATATCTCAGCTTGTGGCTTCCTCGAGCGATGCGGATCAGTCGGCCAGTCAGATTCTCCGAGGCAGTGATGTCTTCCATAGTCCCACCATTCGGCGATCCGCGTCAGCTACACGGAGGCGGCCTCATGACCACCGTCACGGCAGTCCTTCTCTTCGGCCAGCAGATCACGGGTCGCCACATTTGCCTCATCATGCCGCGACCACCGGCCACATGGCAGAGCTAGGTGCAGGAGACGAGCTGCAGCCGGGAACACCAACATTGCAGAGTCTCGCAAAGATGGGGTCATATCCCCTGCAACGCGTTGGTGAGATGGCTGGCTTTGTAAATCGACATACCAAGCGGATGAGCACGTTCTTGTCCACCGAGCCCATGGGCTATGTTGAGAAAATATCTGGCATGTGGAAAGGCGGTCACAAACACTACGACGAGAATGCTGCTCTTCGAACCGACGATGAACTCGGCGATGATGATAGCAAGTCCAAGGAAGACAAGACTCTGCTTGCCAACGAGCGCTTCCGGGAACACTTTGCTTTACCGGAAAGCGAGAAGCTGACTGCCACCTACTTCGGCTATCTTATTCGTGTGCTTCCTCTATATGGGAAAGTCTACCTTAGCGAGCGGTTCTTCTGTTTCCGTAGCCTTCTTCCTGGCACCCGGACGAAACTCATCCTTCCTCTCAAGGACATTGAAAATGTTGACAAGGAGAAGGGATTCCGCTTTGGCTATTCTGGTCTGGTTGTTGTCATTCGAGGCCACGAGGAAATCTTCTTCGAGTTCGGACAGGCAAACTTGCGTGACGACTGCGCGATTACGCTCCTACAAGGTCTAGAGGCGTCAAGATTCATGCGCGAGTCGCATGTAATTGACCGTGATGAGCAAGAATTGGCCGACAACGCCTTGGCAGAGCGCGATGCACTGCAAGAAGCCCGACAAGAGGAATATCCTGATCATGAGCTTCAAATGCCCAGGCAGACCACCGAGATTGCCGACTGCCCGACTATATTGTTTGATGATCCGAAGGCATCAATCTTGAACTTCAAGCCAGAAAAGTCTCTGCGCATTACCTGTCTGACTATCGGTTCGAGAGGTGATGTCCAGCCGTACATTGCGCTCTGTAAGGGTCTCATTGCCGAAGGGCACAAAGCTCGCATTGCAACACACATTGAGTTCAAGGATTGGATTGAGAAGCACGGAATCGAGTTCGCGCTCGTTGAGGGAGATCCGGCTGAGCTGATGCGCTTGGTCATCCAGAACGGCACGTTCACGCTTGCCTTCCTTCGAGAGGCAAACTCGACGATGAGAAAATGGCTCGACGGGCTCCTTCTTAGCAGCTGGGAAGCATGCAAGGGGTCAGATGTTCTCATCGAAAGTCCCTCCGCCATGGCCGGTATTCATGTCGCGGAGAAGCTGGGAATTCCGTACTTCAGGGCTTTTGGCATGCCTTGGACCAGGACGCGTGCCTACCCTCATGCGTTCGTTATGCCCGAACACAAGATGGGCGGAGCCTACAACTACGTGACATATGTCATGTTTGACAATGTTTTCTGGAAGGCGACAGCAGGCCAGGTCAACAGGTGGCGCAACAAGACTTTGGGCTTGCCAAACACTAATCTGGAGAGGATGCAACCCAACAAGGTACCATTCTTGTACAACTTCTCCCCCTTCGTCGTGCCACCACCCCTCGATTACTCCGATTGGATCCGTGTCACTGGCTACTGGTTCCTTGACGAAGGTGGCCAGCAATGGACTCCTCCTAAGGACCTGGTCGAGTTTATCGCCAAAGCCCGCAAGGACGAGAAGAAGCTTGTGTATGTTGGCTTCGGCAGCATCATTCTTGACAATCCCGGCAAGTTCACGCGCGAGATCATCGACGCTGTCGCGAAGGCCGACGTGCGCTGTATTCTCAGCAAGGGCTGGAGCGACCGTCTCGATCCCAAGACGTCGGGCTCGAGCGCCGAGGACAGCGAGAAGACCGATGGAGAGTCGACGGAGATTCCTCTGCCGTCCGAGATCTTCTCCATCAAATCCGCCCCTCACGACTGGCTCTTCGGGCAAATCGATGCTGCAGCCCATCACGGAGGGTCAGGTACTACAGGCGCGAGTCTACGAGCCGGTATTCCGACTATCGTGAGACCATTCTTTGGTGACCAGTTCTTCTTCGGCAGTCGCGTGGAAGATCTTGGAGTGGGTATTTCCCTGCGGAAATGGGGTGCCAACTCATTTGCTCGGGCACTCTGGGAGGCGACTCACAGTGAGCGGATGATCAACAAGGCGAAGATGCTGGGAGAGAATATTCGCAAGGTGTGTTGTATCCCACAATGAAATTATTACCGAAGTACTTGACCTAATTTGGGCTATAGGAGAACGGCGTTGATACTGCCATTCAGTGCATTTACCGCGACATGGAGTACGCCAAGTCACTCGTCATGAAGAAGGCGGGCAAGAACGCAGCTGCCGCCGCCGCCACCGACAGCGAGGATTATGACGACGTCGAAGAAGAGAGCTGGACATTTGTCGGCGACGGCGACGCGAGCGATGAGCTTGCAGCAGAAGCAGCCGTGGCGGGAGTCGCAGGCGGGGGAATGACCATGGGCAGCAAGGCGTTGGGGAGTAGACTCATGGGCGCGCGCGCGGGTCAATAGTGGAAACCGTCGCTGCCCGACTGTTTGAGCGGCATGTGCGAGCGATCTTGATAGAGGCGTTAGACGAGATGAGACAATTGTCGACCCATCATGTCCAGATTGGATTGGTTCTGGGCCCGGTCGACGACAGGATAGACTAATACTGCTGGCTCCAGCAGTGCAGCGCGGCGTTTGGGAAGCGGGAGACTGGAGAGTTTCTCCTCTGGCGTTGTAGTCCGAGGTGATCACTTGGCATACAGACTGCCGCAGACCGGGATACTTATACGGGACGGGGAACATCGATACAGACGGAGAAGCATATACTACTAATGTTAAGATTGCATCCGAATAGACAGCACGCTTTCCCTACATCCACTTGAAGCGCTTTGTGACAGGTGCAGCCCCTTCTTATGACATACCCTCGCTAGACTCCTTACTCCTAATCCCAACGCTCATGCAATCCAGAACCAGATGCGCTCCAGCCAATTCCTCGGCGCCTGGACCTGCCAGTGCGGCTCCAGCCTGTCGATCTCCGCCTTTCCAGACCAGATGTCGATCTCGCTGACCTTCACGAACTTGGTCCTCTTGGCCAACTTGTAGCCGAGGAACAGACACAGAAAGATGGGTATGTCAATGTACGGCGGGACGAACGTCTTGGCGCTGAACTTCCCAGGGAAGAAGGCATCGAAGCCGTTGAAGAAGGCAATGACCAGGCAGAAGCAGACGGCGAAGTAGGCGAGGAACGGCTGGCCCGGCGCGCGATAGGGCAGCGTGGCGCGGTCGATGCCGTTGTGCTTGAGCGCGGCGTGGAAGCGCAGGTAGACGACGCACACGCTGGCCCAGACGATCAGCGTCGACACGGCGCTGAGGTTGCTGATCCAGAAGAAGACCTCGGCGGCGCGGTTGTTCACGTTGAGGTACGCGAGGCAGGAGAGGGCGGTCGTCGCGGCCGCGCAGGCGTACGGCACGCCGAAGCGCTCCCGCTTGAGGATGGCGGGTGCCTTGCCGTCCAGGGCGGCGGCGTACAGCACGCGCGTCGAGGCGTAGAAGAACGAGTTGCCCGCGGACCATGCGGACGTCAGGATCACGCCGTTGATGATGCCTGGCAGCGTCTTTATGCCTGCGTTGCTGATGGCGATTACAAAGGGGCTCTGAGCAGCGCCGGGCGCGGAGCTGCTGATCGCGTTGAGGAGCTTTGAGTCTTTGGAGGAGACACAGAGTCCCACGAGAAAGAGCGCGAGAACATAGAAGATCAGAATACGCCAAAACACACGCCTGATGGCTTTGGGGATGTTGCGGCGCGGGTTCTCCGTTTCGCCAGATGCGACAACTACCATCTCGCTACCGCCATAACTAAATGTCGCTTGGATGAACACCTTGAAGAACGAAAGGAAGCGGCCTAACGCGCCAGACTTGAGGTACTCGTTCATCGGCCCTGGGTGCTTCCAGTACCGGAACCCGATCTGCTCGCCTGTTGGGCTCGCGCCAACGGTGATGAGGAACATCAAGAGGATGAGTCCGACGATAGTTGTAAGCTTGATCGCGCCGAAGAAAAACTCGGCCTCGCCGTACACTCGGACTGGGAAGCAGTTGACGATGACCATTGGTATGAAAAAGATGGTGATCAGAGCTGCCTGGGGGATCGAGTGATGCCAGTAGTCGAGGACGACGACCGAGACGGTCACCTCGATAGGCACACCGATTGCGAACTGGTACCAATAGTTCCACCCCAAGGTGAAGCCGAGCGCAGGATCAACATATCGAGCGGCGAAAATTGGCACCGCTCCAGGAATCGGGAGCCATGCAGCCATCTCTCCCAGGCTGTTGATCACGCAGTACAGATTAAATCCTGTGATGGCATAGCACAGAAAGGTCGACAATGGGCCAGCGAGGGATAGCACCTGTCCACTGCCAACAAATAATCCCGTACCGATGGCACCGGAGAGGGCCAGGAACTGCACATGACGGGACTTCAGCCGCCTTTCTAGAGTGCCGATATGTTGAGTTTCTTGTTGTGTCTTGAGGACGTCACCCTGTTCGTGCTCCGCGCCTTTTGTCTCTGCCGTGCCGATTTTGTCCTCGCCATGATCTAGCCCCTGGCCCTCAATATCCCTGTCTTGGATCGATTCGCCTGTCATGATCCGCAATATTTGATTGAAGGGGGGATCGCTGATGTCAACAAATCAAGGTCTCATAAACCGAACAACGCAGTGGTTGGTTTCCCGCAAAAAGAAAGTTTGAGAGAAACATGTTCGCAGCCTTTTAACCAGAAATCCCTCGAAGTGGTATCAAAAGATAACTGGCTCTACAACCCCTCACTTATACCCGGCGTTTGCTGACCTTGGCACACATTGACAACCATTCTTTCGGCAATAACACCGTCGATCACGGTCGCGAGGGATGATAAGTTGTCCTTCAGTGGGGCTCCGATAGTCCATTCCTTGGCTCACCAAGACTCTTGCAACAAACTAGATGAAGAGACTAGATCTAAACTAGAAGCTAAGTTGGCCTTTGAGTTGGTGAAGGACGAATATTCACAAACCATATAGATGGTATAGATCAATAGTCGTGGAAAAGTGCATCTTTAACAGCATTGCTGCCAATTCATGACTTTCCCAACGGCGACCCTTTCGCGTCTTCATCACAAACAATGTATCTTAGAGAATGTAGACTCATCATTCAGCGACGATGGGCCGTATAAAAACTTGACCTAAAATCGAACCGGTGCTTATCATTCTGGGCCCTCATAATCATCAAACATGCGAATGACGGAGTCGTAGCCTGCCTCCCGGGCCCACTGACAGGCGGTTCTCCCGTACCTCCTGTCCGTGACAGTTGCGTCAGCTCCCCTTTTGAGCAGCTCACTTACAACTCGTGCGTGGCCATGAGCAGCCCCCCATATTAACGGAGTATTCCCGTGGAGCTCATCTTTGACATCGAAATCGGCATCGTAGTCAAGAAGTAGTTCTACAACGCCAAAATGGCCTAAAAAGGCGGCTCTCAGCAAGGGGGTTTGACCTTCATCGTCATCCGGAATCTCGGTATCCGCGCCTTTCTCCAGCAGTAGTTTGACAACTCGTGCGTTTCCTAGCTCGGCAGCAATCCAAAGAGGTGTCTTTCCGCAGTCATCTACAGTGTCGACAAAGGCACCAAAGTCAAGCAATATCTCCACGAAGGAAGGGAAGCCCATCTCGGCGGCCTCGCGAAGTGGCGTCCTTCCATAACGCACCATCTCAATATCAGCACCTTCGACGAGGACTGCATCATGAAGTCCGCCTGGCCGGTATCGAGAGCCCACCAAAGCGGTGTGAGGCCCTCGTCAGGACGCCCCTCTTTGAACAAGGCTTCAAATTGCTCCCTTGTTGTTGTGGGTGTATTATATCGCAATGCCAAGCCACGTGGCTCTATTTCTCTGGCTATTGCATCCATACGGTCCCACGGATATACCGGCTTGTTGTTTGGGTTGAAGTCCTGGACCCATTCTTCTGGTGTGAACGTGACCCTAATCTCACCCAGCCTAGACTTGCCCCTGATAGCGGCATCTACCAAAGCCCTTAGCCAGTCCTCTTCTTCCTGGCCAAAATTATCCAAGGTTTCGCCGCACTGCTGATCTTCAAGTGTCAAGTCCCAGTGAAAGCTTTGCAGGTTTGGCGCGATAAGGTTACTGATGAGGCTACTGTCGGTTCCTGTGCTTCCGTGAGACAGAAGGAGGTTTTCAAGTCTGCTGAATGCAGACAGTACAAACCCATCCAGACCAGTCTTGTTGATATTGCGAATTTCAATGGTGCGGAGACTCTGCGCTTGGGGCATTAAGACACGTCTAAACGTGCCGAGGCTCCAGTCGGTGCTCAGACCGTCTCTGTCGTAATCCGGGCTATAAGAGAAACGGAACTTGAAAACTTCCAATTTCGCTGGCCAAGCCAAGAGATGTGCGAGTACCTCCGTTGTTTGAAGGAAACCAAAAAGCTCGAGTTCGGTCAACGACCCGGTACCTGCTAGTCCCTGTGATGGTGTGAGCATAAGTTGTTGTATGCAACTCAAACATGAAGAATAAAACGGAGCCGTTAAAGTCTAGTAAGGATTGTCATCATGATGCACACGTACCTGAAGCTTTCCCCACGCTTGTGAATTGCTGAGTGTCGAGACACCAGAAAGTTGCAACTTTCGAAGACTGGAGCCGTTACTCAGATAGCCGAGATCATCGATGATGGTGGGGAGAGAGATGTCGCGATAGTCGAAGTCACAAACCTCAAGCTCCACCAAGCGAGGCATATGTCTGATTGCTTGGCTGAAGGGATGCCATCTTTCGCCAAATGGCTTCCAGTTTCCGTGGTTTGAAACTCGCAGTGATCTTGTGGCACTCAGCCAGGTAGCCAAGTCCAAAGCGATGTACATGTCGCTAAACAAAGTCTCGCCTGACTTCTCACTACTATGTTTGATTACCAGGGTCTTGCATAGTGGCCAGAGGTCAGGATTCTCTCTCAAGCTACGATGCAGAAGTTTTCTGGTTTGCTTGTGGTTTGATGAACGCTCATCATCAAAGTGAATGCGGAGTGATGAATACAGGTATGGAGTAGCAAGCCTACTGAATCGACGGCAGATCATCAAAAGTGCCCGTAAAGGTTCGTAAGATTTCTCATTACTGTACGTATCGTGAAGCGGCTCGACTACCGACGCCAAAATCTTGTCGAGAAGCTCGTCAGGAAGCCCTAATATGAAGGCCTTATCGACAGCCATGATCATCGAATTCAGCCTGGATGAAGACCCTGCTTGGCGATTAGTTGCAACATGAGGGCAGAGATTCGGTTTGGTCAGAGCGGTGGTGTAGGCGTATCCGAAGCAGCAGTCAACAAATCGATATTGACTTTTGTGTCGTTGTGCGGAAAGCGTTCTTGGCGTTCCTGCCTCCCGAACGAACAGGTGCTACTATGCTAAGCTTCTCAGCCGCCGTTAGCGGGCTCCACTAACGTTAGGTGAGGGCTAACGGTGCCGGCGCGGGGGGGATTCTCGGGCTCACAGTCCAGTCGTGGATTCCGATCCACAATCGAGGCAAGTACACGCCTTACATGAAAGACATCCAATAAATGCGATGGAGACTCACTATTCTGGACTTCAGCTAGTGATGGCGTGGAGACTAGTAAGTGGTTGTTTTCTTCGTTACTCGATTGGACAATGAGTACCTGAATTTACTGGGGCGAAGACCTAGGAGTTTTTCAGTTGTCAGGCACATGCTTTGCCCTCCAAACGTTGAAGGTCAAATTCCAATCCTTGCTATCTGGTTAGTTTCTATAGTTTGGCATCGCGCAAGATGGAGGGGCCACTGACATCAGAGTGGCTGATGCATCCGCTGGCCTTTACCGGTTCTGGCCTTGACCCCCTGGACCAGGGGAAATTGCGTGTTTGCGATTGAGAATAAAAGATAAGGCACTCGCCCGCCGGCCCGCCCCTCGACGTCGCGATCGCTGAATTTCCCCAGGGATGATTCCTCAGTCAAACATGACTGTCCCTCGTTAATGATGGTTCTGAGAGGCGGACTGGACGTGCTACGTCGAAAGACTGCCGTCTTTGCTATTCTTTTTACACTCGTTTGCTTGCAGGCAGCTTACTTTACTTTACGACGCTCCGATGCCTTATCAAGCATTGACTACCAGCCCCATAGGACTACTGCGTCGAGCAATATCACCGTCAATCTGGTCATTGCAAGCTTGAAGGCGGATGATATATCTTGGACCTCGAAGTTGGACATCCCGAATCTCCAGATCATCCGATATATCAGCGATTTCGATGAGTACGATGAGAGCAGCGCCAAGTACCACCCGGCTGTGCCAAAGAAGGGTCGTGAAGCGACGATCTACCACACGTATCTATACGACTTTTACGACGAACTACCGGATATTTCAATAATGATACACGCGGAAGAGAATCCATGGCATATCGACGGCGTGTTGCAGCAGTCAATGCTTTTCGCACTGTCTCATCTCGACCTCGAAGAGGTCTTGAAGCGCAAGTATGCCAACCTGCGCGTGATGTGGGAGCACGCGTGCCCCGATTGGATTAATACCACCAAGACGCCGGAGGAATCATTCAAACAAGAGGAGCCGTTCATGAGGGAGGCTTGGATAGCGAACTTCGGAGGCTCTGTCGGAGACGTTCCAGAAATCTTGGCAGGGCCCTGCTGCTCCCAGTTCGCAGTCACGAGGGATGCAGTGCACAGACACAAGCGAGAGCAGTATGCTCGAAACAGGGACTGGATGTTGGCGACAGAGTGGTCCGACTATATCGCCGGTCGGACATGGGAGCACATGTTTCCGTTTCTTCTGAGCGGACAGCCTACAGATTGCCCTGCTGAATGGAATGCCTATTGCGCCATGTACCACGTTTGCTTCGATCGTCGCTCGACAGCTCAAAGGTACAATCGGCTATGGAAGGAGAGACACGAGTTGAGGGAGCGAATAGAATTTTTCAATGAGCTTCTGAACCCGCAGGGTGGTCTTGCTGCGAGGCAGCGAATAGAGGAAATTAATGGGATTTTGCAGGCAGATATAGAGCTTGCCTTGGAGCGAGGCAAGGATGAGGGTATAAGGCGTCGAGCGGCGAAGGGCTTATTTAGTTCTTAATTGGTTTTCGACAGACTATGATACCCAAGATCTAGATATAAAATATTGATTATGACCATGCCGTTGTGGCACCAATTGCTGCTCCCGAGGTAGGGAGAAGGAAATTGCTAGACACGATTCTTCCATTAGATTGCCTGGCTCCCTGTACCAAACTTGTATCGACGCTCTTGAAGCTGCTGTTGCTCCACGTAGTACTTGAGTCCCAAGAGTTACCGCTAGACGTAGCACCAGTAAGGCTGATTTGTTTAGATTGCGTGGTAGAGGCTTGGTTCAGCGCGGCGATGTTGTTAGTGAGTGTCGCACTTGCTGTTGTAATCTGGAATCCAACTGCAGCATTGTTCCATGCAGTGTTCCGGGTGAGTGTGAATGTTCCGGTCTGCTTGTTATCAGTAAAGCCCTTGGCGGCATTGCCAAAAGCAATGCAGTTCGTGACAACGTGATTAGCTGGGCCAATGTCAGCAGCATCGCCACCGCCTAGCTTGAAACCATTTCCATCGCCCTCGAAGTCTGTGAAGCCCCATCGATTGAAACCATTGCCCCAAGAGATGGTATCCTGAATAGTGACTTGAGACTTGAACTCCCTGGTACATGTCAGCACAGCTCACCTCAACCTAGAATGGAGGCAAACATACCAAAGGTCGAGTCCATCATCAACATTGTTCCACAGGCGGGCACCACGGAGGATGTTGCCGGTCCCTGAGCCTTCCTTGCAAGCAAAACCATCTGCGCTTTCTCCGTTCTTTCTGGGGTCACGATTCATATACGAGTCGAGAAAGAGAACCTGGTTGTTAGACAGGCTTCCTTGCATATGGAAACCAGTCTCGTAGTTGTCATGAGTTGTGATCTGCTCAAAATAGTTGTTGGATGAGTCGCGAACATAAACCCCGTACGGCCCGTTGATAAGTGTGATCTTGTAGAATTTCCAGTAACTAGCCACAATGTGCAAGACACCTCGATCGGCATCTGCGAGCGACCCTCCTACAGCAGCTGGGGTGCCTGTAAGTGCTTCTCCATCGATTATTACGTTCTCACTATTGTATGCTGTCAGAGTATAAGGCGCGCTGGATGTGCCACTCTTGGTGATTTTGATGTTTGTAGTTGGGGAGTATGTCCCAGCACGTAAATAGATGGTATCACCGGCCACAGCTTTGTCAACGGCAGATTGAATGGACTTGTAGGGGCTTGTCTGAGAACCAGTTCCGCTATCAGACCCCGATGGTGAGACAAATATATCAGCCGCCGCCGCTGTTGAAAGGAGTACAAGAAAGGGGGTAAGCAAGACCATGTTGTCTGTGTGTGAATCGCCGGTGACTCCTGGATAACAGCACAGAGCAGTGAACAATACAGCTTTCAGGCACATGAGATCTTTAAATATCTAATTAGAAGCTCAAATCAGTTGACCGTTGTTCGCCAAGGCCACCGAACTATTCTCATCTAGAGTAAAAATATCCATAAAGGGATTGTCTTGGCGAAGTGGACCACCACTATTCGTGGGAATTGAAAAGCCGCAGTGGGGTGTATACATCCTGTCACCTGCTTTTGACATAAGGCTTGGCATACCCCCTCGCGAGAAGGTGAAAGGATGGAGAATAAAAGTATTTGCACGAATGTTCCGATAGTTCTCAGGAAGACTTGCCTCCGTCGTTCAATCCTTGGACAACACAATTACAGACATCGATGATATGTATCGCTTAAGCCCCCTACTTTCTTATATATCATTCGTGGGATGAAACCCAGGACTTCAGACAAAATATGGAACAAAACGGCAAGAAATTGCGAAAATCACAAGTCTAGAAGATGGATTCAAATGTGAGTTATGTCGTCAATCTAGATTTGCTGGGACTATTTCAGACGCAGAGTGTTCCAAAACGGCGTATTCTTTATGGAGGCTGTCTCTTTGGGGGTAGTATAAAAGCCCTAGACATTCATCATTCTGATTTGTCATCCCGAGCTTGGTTCCATCGATTTGCTGAGAATTGCACTTCGTATAACCGGTGTCAGAGGTTTTCATTTACTCTTTATGCCCCATTATCTCCTCATGACTTGGGCGTAACTTATGATACATATCGGTCATGAAGAAAGCTAACGTGTCGCAGGTTCCCGTCACGGTGCTAACGACGAGAGGCTGTGCTGGTATATTGCGTGGCCGGCGAGATCAGCTTCGGGTTTTCGAATGATATCGGTAGTTCTATCTGATTGGGAACTAGGTCACAACTCCTGATATTTTGCAAGCTGTGGGTTTATTGGGGTGCCCAAGGACAGTAAGCAACTCGAAGGGTTCTCAAATACATAGGTACATGTGTCCGACAAGAGCTAGAGAGTCGGAGAGTCCACGACTTCGAGTCCGGGATCTGCCACAAAAAAATGGCAAAAAAGAATTACCCACAGGAACTTGCTGTAACCTCTGCAATTTAACGGCGCAAACTCAGCAGAGGATATATTTCTATCATGCCAAGATCGCGTCCTCCGACCAGGGGCGTTAATCATCCCTGGCTGCAGGTTCAAATATCAGCTCACCACACAGGAGGTCTTACTGGGAAGTGCGGAAGCCACAATTTTGCGGTTCAGGAATCCACGAGATCGCGGTTGACCGTTGCACTATACTAATTACGCCCAGCGTCCTTGTTGAAATTTCACGGTGAAAAATAACCTTATAAGGGCTCTCCCATGAGAGGTCTGTCATGTGGTGGGCACAGCATGCAGGTTCTCAGGCAGCAAGGTATCAATTTTCATCTGAAGTCGAGACGGAAGGCACCGGCCTGTCGTGACCAATAACAAGACCCCTTCTGAGTAGAGCTTACCAAGAAGTCTGCCCATTGAGCGCTCTGGACGTACCTAGCCCATTTGAGGTTCCTCAGTGGAGGCGGAGTGCAAATCGAAACTAAGAAGAAACAATCGAGGGTTCTCAAGGCCTGTCATGAAGTGTATCATTATAATGAATCTCAGAAAGGTCCTTTATCTCATTAATCAAGCACTTGCTTAAGTGTTTAACCTTCTGTGCCATTTTCCTCGAGCGAGATTGATACTAGCAGAACCAGATTCCCGTATTGAGTGTATGAAATCTACTGTTAATGCCGGTATACAGTATTCTTACTCAAGGCTCTGATCTGAGCACCATATTTGAACAGGAGAAATGGCACAGGAGCCATGAGGGTAGCCAGAACAGCTGGGATAGTCAGAGCCTTGTGAGGTCCGAGGCGCTCGTACATAGGGATTGACGCAGGAAATACAGCTCCTGCGACAATATATCGGACGCATGTCATGAAAGCAAGGGCCGATGCTGAATGTACCCCGTACACGAAGCAAGTGTATAGGAGAGTGGTAGCAAAGACGGTCACTAGCCCATAGCCCAAGAATATAGAGCCAACAATCGGAACCCAAATGTTGATGTTAGGCTAAATATGACAAGTCAGATGGTGTAAAATTGAATTAAGAGAATAATGATAAGAGCTCTTACATAACAATTCCATGCTAGCCACCAAAGAGAGATTAGAAGCATGACGGAGCCACCTAACATGCCGTACCACAGACATATTTCAGGGGTCAACGTCCCCACCGTTGCTGCTTTCTTAGCCCAGCCGTATACCAGGGGAACGAGCGGAAGAGCAGCGAGATCACCGACAAGCAAAGCGACCCACAGGATGAAAGTCAAAGACCCGGAGATGTTGTATGTTTGCTGAAAAATGTAGGTGTACCCGTTCAAAAACGTGAAAAGAACAAAGTATATGATCGTCTGATAGAAAGTGAAGATCAGGATTATGGGCTCGGTATAGATCATCAAGAAAGGTCGGTATATGTTGACTATAAGCCTCCGACCTAAGGTACGGGTACTGGCGTGCGCCTCAACTTGATATCGATCATCCTTAGTGGGATTGCGGAGGTGCTCTGCTTTCCACTCTAGAAGCACCGGATGGTATGTCTCAGGTTGGAAAAGAAATACGTAAACCAGAACCACAGCGGTGATGATCATGAAGATCCAGTCTGCCCAACGAAACCCTATCAAGGGAACATACGCGCCAATGATAGGTCCAGCCAATGGTCCCGCGTAAGACGTCATGGCCCCAACTGGCAGACAGAAAATCATTTCTAGGGGGTTCCATATATCCGCAATCGAACCTCCTACAGCTGTCATCGGTGTCGAGCCGAAGAAGCCAGTTAAGAAGCGAAACACGAGGACACTTCTAAAGTTCGTAGCCAATGCCTTTGCCATGATGAAGAGAGTAAAGACTAGGAAAGTTGTCATATATACCACATTGCGGCCGAATGTCTCCGATACTGTTCCCGCAAATAGGGCACCCGTCCCTTGTCCGATCAGATACATACTTGTCGTCAGGGACCCTGCCATGGGCCCGACGTTGTAATGCTCGTTGAATTCAAGAGATACAGGCGCATCAATGGATACTGGAATCGTGATGGCCATAGCAAGCAGGCATATTGCGAATGTGCACGCCCATTTCCTGCCACGACTCCAATTGTGGGGATTAAGGCATCTCCGTCCTTCCATCCGACAAGAAATGTTACACGGCCATCTTTTTCGCTGGGCGAGAAATCGTGATACCTGGGAATGTGGTGAAGGACTGGTTCTTCTCTTGTTCCTTTCCCAGTATGTGGCGACCATCAGTTGCTTCCTTGCTTTCTGGCGTTGATGTACCTGTCGTTGAGCCTACAACAACCGTTCCAGCTTGTGTTTGTGACAGGGCAACATCTGCCTTCACTGCCGCTCTTATACGACGATATTGAATGAATGACTGCATAGTGGGATCTTTGGTGCCGAGATGGGAAACTTGAACACCTCCGGCTGGACCAAGCAGCCAACCCATTGTTTCTGCTACTCTTTGATCCAAATTACTTACATACTAGTAGTTGGCATACGAAGAGAGGTGGAGAATTCGGTTTCAATGAGCTTCAATAGCGCCTATATTAACTCGAGCTTGTGGAACTGGAGCTGTGTAAGAGTGCTTAGCGTATTTCGGGGTTAGGGGAGTTAGCAGGGACCCACCCTAACAACCCAGCACCTGACACCTTTTTTTTAGGACAGCATCTTGACCATGATAGCAGTGACCCACCGGAGTTAACTACTGGACCCACAGGAGTCAGACGGAGTCAGGATTCTTTGCACATGCGCCAGCGTTCGCGCATCTTCACTCACAGCTATCTCTTTGACGTTTACACAGTTTGTCAGGAATATCTTTTGAAATCGTATGATCAAACCATCACAAGCATTTTGTATTGGACGTAGGTAGTGCATTCCTCCTTTGCCTTGAAGTTGACTCCTGACAACAAATGCCTTGTAGATTTACCTAAACTACACATCGTTATTGTATAGCACAACCGGACTCTTGCACGCGAAACTGGAGTTGGCTTACAACAATTCCAACTGGGTTCCTCTCTTGGATCAGCTAGCACCGAGAACTCCGGCCTTTCAAGATTGTCACAGTGTAAAATTCGCTGCTAAGCAATCGAAGCCGCCTCGTGGCCGAGGAAGAGGTCGAGCAACACTGCTTAGGCATCTTTTGATCTTACTCCGGATGCTACTAGCTCTCAGACTTGGGGCAGGGCATCCGTAATGGTTCAACTTTCTGACTCCAGCCCAACCTCCGAGGGAAGCAGCGACTCGCCGTCTTCACAGCGCACGCAGACTATCAACGTCGGCAGATGGTCTGCGGCCGAAGATTCTCGCTTACGGGAAGCCGTCATCAAACATGGTAATCGATGGATTGCTGTGGCTCCCGAAGTCGGCACTCGTAACAGCGAGCAGTGCGCTAAGCGTTGGAACGACAATCTCAACCCTAGCCTAGATCATAGTTTCTGGTCGAATGAGGAGGTAGGTTCACCGTAATGCGTCGTTTGCTCTATAATCTCGTTACTAGAGGATGTCGTGGTTGAGATAAGCAAGGGTGAGCATAGCTGACTCGTTTGTTTGGACATAGGACAAGCTTCTGCTCCATCTTGTAAACTTGTACGGTCACAACTGGAAGCTCATGACGGAAAGTTCCTTCCAGGCACGTTCACCTCTCTCCCTGAAGAATCGATATTGCCTTCTTCAGCGTCGCCAGAAACGCCAGAGCAAACGGCGGCAACAGACGTCGTCAACGTCTGGGGATGGCAATGCATCTATGATAACGCCGCCGTCCGACCTACAATCTCCATCTAATGCTGACCTCAACTCCATGTCCTATCCCCCCTTTTCTACCGCAAGTCCTAGATCATCATTGTCTCTCAGCACTACACAGATTGGCGCTCAAAGTAACTTGATGGGATCCTCGAATGGCGATCTTGATATGGCAGGGATGTTTCCAGGGAATGGCTTCGCCAACATGCAAAACAGCTTCGGAACTGCCCAGTTTACCCCTGCGATAGCAACCGTTGGCAGCGTTGGACAAGGGTCCATACACAGCCGCGATCAAGGCCCAGCGCACACGGGGTGGGACAGGCATGACTTTTGCAACAGTATTGATCTAGACAGCCTGTTCAACGGCACCGACCTATCGCTTCACTTAGATAATGCCAACAACGGTATGCTAGACACGCAGCGGCCATCCGATACTGGTAAGCAGAAGGACAAGGGCATGGAGGTATCCGTCACATGCTCAAGGTCGAGGTTGAAAGCTATGGTTTGCCACGCATTCGAAAGCGCCATGACAGAGACGAGGGGCTTGTCGGAAGAAGACCAAGTTACAGTCACTCTGCGGCTGAAGAGGTAACGATATGAACATAATATGTACAGTCTAGCTATGCGCCTCTGTCTTCTTAATAATGCTCTTTCTTGTTCATGACATTGATCAAGGGCTCGCCCGCGTTCAGCTTGTCCAAGTTCAGCTCTAGAATCTGTAATACGCGATCCCAATAATATGGAGTCTGCCAGCTAACATGAGGCGTCATGAAAAGGTTCGGTGCTTTCCACAGAGGATGGTCTGATGGCAGCGGTTCTGGGTCTGCCACATCTAGTGCGGCGCCCTTGATCTTGCCTTGCTCTAGTGCCTCGATCAGCGCCTCCTGTCTGATGTGTTTGCCGCGGGCGATATTGATGAGGTAGGTCTTTTTCTTGCTCAGAACGTCAAATTGCTCCTTGTCAAGTAGGTACATCGTTGATGCTGTCAGCGGCAAGCTGACGACTAGCACGTCTAGATCTTGTGCCAGGAAACCATTGATTGCACTCTTGTCCGCTCCGTGGAACCATTTCGCCGGTATGAGGCCATCTGGATCTCCCGTGCCAGGTATAGCATAGCTATCGTCTTTCCTTGACTCTGGAGTTGAACGCTCGCTGCGTGTGTATGCATAGACTTCCATACCGAGGGCCTGCGCAAGACGAGCACACTGGCGGCCGATGGCACCGTAGCCAAGGATACCCCTAGATCGAGCTGTCAGCGAATTATCCTTGGACTCGGGAAAGATAAGCGTACATTCGAAGTCCCGGTGAGTCGACAATCGGGAAGATGTTTGCTTTTGTCCATTGGGCAGACTTCATGAAACCAGCATAATCAAGGAAATGATGCTGAACCATGAGCCACACGCCAATGACCCATTCTGCGATTTGCGTTCTGGGATATCATGAGCTTTGAGCCTGAAATAGTGGAGCAAGTCTACTTACGAGTGCAGTCCATTGGCCGTAGAGAAGATAACATTGGGGTCTTTATATGTATCATGCTCAAGCCACCGGTCAGCTCCAGCCGACGTGAGCTGAACGAAGCGAACCGTCTTCATGAAATGTGCGGGGGGCGGGATGGACGATGTGGCCAAGGTTACACCTGCCCACTCTTCAGACGGCATGGTCTGTAGCGCTTCCGACACTTTGTGAATGTCTGTGGCGTACTCATCGCGGTTGATCCATCTTATCTGAAGCCCGGGGAACTTCGACTCGATGCGCTGCACCCATTCATCCTGGCGTGGCCGAGGAACGAAGATGAGCAAGACGTCTTTGCTCAAGGCACACTGAGCGCCGGCATCGGTGGACCCCATCTGTGCCGAGATATCTGTCTATGTCTACAAGCTCTTGGAGTTGGAGTTGAAACATACGAAAGACTCGTTGGCATACAAATGCGATGTCCTTTTCTTGAAGCCTTGACGTCTTATCTTCAGCCTAGGGAAATGTGCTTTGAAAGCGAGCGACTTGTTCGGCGAATCCCAGACCTGAAACGGGAAGTGCTAACCGCTGTCGCGATTGGTGGCTGGCATGGCAGAATCCACCACTGCATCCATCGCAAGAGCGAAGACGGTGCGCGATGGACATGGCCGCAGCCGCTAACGCGCCGATGGCCGACGCTGGCGGCGGGACGGCAGGCTGCCTGGTCCAATGTCTTTGGTCTTTGGCTGGTTTATCAATCCGATTCAAAACCGGCGGCGAGACTCAGCTTCGGGCTCGGCCACCCAAAGGTTGCGCTGGTGATGATGCATCGCCGAAATTCCATGGTTGTCGATGACCTGCAAGAGAGGACGTCCGATTAAGGCAAGATCGATTAGATGAAACGGTAACGCTGGCTCTATAACGTCTTTCACTGACAGGGCCAAAGCTTACTTAGTAGTAGGATTGTGCCACAGACCTACCTAAGCCTACCTAAATACCTGTCCCTACCTAACCTCTTACAATTGCCTTCTCAAGCTATCTCGCACGTCCTTCCACTACGAATGAGCCCCGTTTGTTGGGCTTAGACCGTTGTGTCCGTTTGTTTTGGCCTCACCGTTCTGTTGCGCAAATGCTTTCTGCCACGGCAATGGCTCCGTCGCCGGCTTCACCGGTCCCAATTCCTCAGCCCTCCGCTTCTCCCACGCTTCGATATCGCGTTGATCTACGAAGTTGCCATGGAACCCCAGCTTCAGCTTCAGCGGCAGGTGGATGACGGCCAGAGGGCCCGCAGCTAGCTTCTGCGCGTCAAACACTACGACATCATTGCGCAACACGTCCAGGTGGTTGAGCAGCGCCATCAGGTAGCCTTCGCCCTCGCCGCCGCCCTCTTTGGGCACAAACACCGGTTCTTGGAAGGTCATCGTGGGCCCGGCATAGAAGACATCTTCTTGGCCTACCGCGCGCTCTTCTTTCTTGTCCCAGATGTAGTGGCCCATGCAGTTGAAGAGCCCCCCAGCTGGCGGCCCGCACTTCGCGAAATCATAAGGCTTTGCCGGGTCAACCTTGACTTGCCAGAAATGGCGGTACTTCTTGGTGACCCAGCGGTCATCAATCCGCGAGAACTCCCCGTTGGTTGACCACGCGAACGCTGGGGTGATGCGGGTGTCGGTCTTCGCCTTGGGGTCGAGCACCCAGCGCACAGTCGGGCTGCTGAGCTTATTGCGCTTCGCCAGCCCACTCTGCTCCTCGCCGTCAGGCGGGAAGAAGAAGAAGACGTTGCCGTCTGCTACCGTGAGGTCCACCACGACGTGTCCGTCCTCGTTCTCGTAGCAGCCTGCTACGTGGCCATGAAAACCTGCGCATTCCCATTAGATTATTTATCATTCTGACAGGATGTAAGGCAAGAACGGCTGGCACTCACCGTTGTCTGCTCTGAACCAGATGATGTCCTCTGGCTTTCCTCCCCTCCTCGGCACAAGACCGTACCATTGATCCTCATTCGGGTCCCACGCAAACTTGTTCCCTCCTTTCTTCATCCGATCCACAGATATCTTTAACGGCGTCAGCGGCAGCACCATATAATTCTTGGATATGCCACAATCATGGATCATTCCCGCAAAAGGCGCCTTATACCACGTCTCCTCCGTCTTCACACCATCGGCATTGATCGTCCACACCACGACGTCGCAGGAGCCATCAGACCCGTCTCCACCGGCCTCGTACGCGAAGCAAAGCATCTCGCCCGTGTCAGGGTCGAACTTTGGGTGTGCGGTGAAGCTCGGCGCGAGGATCTGGCCCTCAAAGTCATAGCGCCCGATCGTCTCCAACGTCACGGGATCCATCGCAAATGGCGGCCCGTCCTCTTTACTCGCGAGCAGCATGCCGCGCCAGAACGTGACGTTGGTGTTGCTCGCCGTGCGGATGACTCCCTTGACGGTCTCATTGTCTGTGAATGGGTTCCGGTAGCGACCAAACAATGCGCGACGCGCTGCTGTCTCGTGCGTGTACCTGTCCGTGCGGACATAGCGCTGCTTGAAGTCGGCGTGGCCGTCTGCTATGCGGATGGCTGTCACGCTGCCGTCGCCGTTGAAGTGGATATCGTCCTCGAAGACTGGTGGGAAACGGGCATCAGGCTGCACCCGGTAGAAGGTGCCGTTGATCTCCTTCGGGATCTGGCCCGTGACCTCGAGATCGAAGATGTCACCTTCAAAGCGCGAGGGCTTGTTCATGCCCCGAAAGACATCCGTGTCGGGGTACTTGACCCCATCGCCGGTGAGCCGCCCCTCTGTGTAGTTTGAGACCGCTGGTGCGAGAGAGAAGATGTGCGCCATGGCTCTCAGTGCGAGCCAGTTCACTAGTCCCTATAGTCAAATTTGGATTCGACAGTTGCAAAGTGTACAGCATTTAGTTTTAGCATCCTCCCGGGAAGCTCGCGACACTTCTATCATCTTTCTGCAACAACCGAGGTGTGTGAGCTATCGAACGATATCTCACCACCACCAGCGGCCGTTATTTTACGCCCCGCATGGACCCTGACGGCAATTCTCACTGCATCACGGGTGTGTATAATTTGATAAGGAGGCACCGGTTTCCATGCAGACATTATTGCTGACCCGGTACATCTATTCCCCAGAAGTCGATCATCTGGGGATATTTTGGGGCCGTCCCGTGCGGGGTGCATTTTAGAAGCGCCCGGCAGTTGGGGGCTGCTTGGCCCTCATGGAGAATTGCGGGGGCAAGCGCCGGTGATGTGGAGGATTGACAGACATGGCGATACGAGCACGGTTGCACCGTTTGATGATTGAGGCCAAATATGGTCAATTGAGTATCACCGTGCGAACTATTGCCTCTAGCGAGGATTGAAAGGCTGGCGGAGCCAGCTGCATGATAACCCTAGGTAGGCATGGCATTGCTCTCCTGGCAGCTGATCTAAGCGTTCTGAACTAGTTCTGGCAATACTCTATCTCCCTTCGCCGGATCAACGTCCTTTGCGCCCGGTCTGGTCTGACCTTCTGGCAACTTCAAGTTGAGTTCGGGCTCAGCAGTATCCGCACCCTTACCATAGGCCGGCGCTCGAAGATCCTCGGCGTTGATCCGCTTGCCCGTCACTGGATGGGGGTAGTGGAAGGGGATAACTCTCGTATCTGGCCACAGCATCTTCTGCTCAAGCAGCTCGTCCGGTCCCAGCGGATCCTCGGGGAACGTCTTGGTCGGCCAGGGGATGTAGTTGCGACGTGTGTGTGACCAGCCCCTCTCAAAATCGGCGTGCCAGAACGGGAAGTATCTGTACCGGAAGAGCTTCCAGACGCCGTCCTCCTTGATGTACTCGTTCTCGTACAGTCCGCCCTCCCACCATTGCGCGTGGCCACGGGGGTGAGTCTCCTGGATCGACTGGTGAGTGCCGGCCTGCATGAGCGCGCGCATTCGCACCCAAGCATGCGTGCCGCTCGGGTCGACGTCCACAATGTCCTGCATCATGATGTGGTCTAGCAAGAAGCCCTCCACAGGGCCGTTGCGCCCTTTCACGAAGGCGTTCTGGAAGCGCCCTTGGTAGAGACGCTTGATGCCTTCCTTGCCTCGGTAGCGTGACCCGAGGAACTCGACGTAGGCGTCGGGTGAGTCCGAGAACATATCCACGACCTGCGAATGTGTCAATGGTATTGGCCCCAATGATGCCAAGATGGAGCATTGTTCGTACCTCGTTGTACAAGCACTTATCCAGGTAGTAGCCATACTTGAAGTGCACCTTGCGCACCTCTGCCTCATCTGTGAAGACACAAATTAGCATCAGAGTTCATGTTCGGGAATCCAGACAACTGCTCACCAGAAACCCGCGAAAGCTCTTTTGAAAGTGCTTGTACTTGCTGTTTAAGCTGGGCAAGTTCTTCCTCCATGGTGACGACTATTTAAGGCGATATTCCCGTGGTTTGAATCCGAGTGTTATTTTCGAGTGGCGTGCCTGCAGTCGTGAAAGCCAAAGAATGTGAGATGCTCTGCTTCGCCTCGTAAGTTGCACAGAGAACCTGGTAGTTGTACCCCAAAGTTCATGTGGGGTAAGGCAGAGAGGAGAGCTCTCTCATATCTGAATAACTTCGCAAAGCTACTGCGGGGCAGGGTATCGGAGGATTTATCCAGCAGGAACATCTTGCGACCGCGATCGGGAGTTCTTCCATTGCTGAGATTCATGTCAATATTAGGGTTGCCGTGCGTCTGAATCTGGACCCCGCGTAACGTGTGGTCAAGGGGCGGCATCACTAGTTGGCGGGATCCCTCGGTTCGGGTGAAAAAGAATGTCCGTTCCAGATTGGTTAACCTTTGTAGTTGAAAAGCAAGTGTAGGTGAAATCCGTACACTAAGTTACACAAGCGATCCGACTTGAACGAAATTGCTTCTGCCATAGCAGTCTCGCCAATCCCTCCTGAATTTCTATGCAGTTGCAGCGCACACCAAACCCCCTGACTAAAATGCTGCTAGTCCAGTGCGAGGTTTGGATGGATGTCCAAGACCAAAGGTAAATGATTTCACTTACCGGGGTTAAGAATACCAGGAAGACGAGCAGTCATCGAGAGCTCGTGTGGTCTGAGCCCCTGAACAAGCGTATAAGAAGCGTCTAGAACCATTCAAACTCCTTTCACTGATCACGATATGCCAAGTCATTTGAGGTTGAGCTGTGCATTTTTAATGCCACGCACACCTGTTTCATCCTCGAACCTCCTCATTCGCGTTTTCATGTCTTCTCTGTTCATATTATCTCGCATTGGAATGGTCATTAATAGACTATTGGCACTGGCCGAGGAGCGTCTGGAGTACTTAGAGATCCTTTGAAACCAATTTAATGAGTAGAAATTCTCGATTCCACCAGTTCTAGTCCGACTTTTTCCTGGTGGCTTCCTGGAAACTCTAAACATTGCTTG